GCAAGAGGCCCACTGCAGTTGAAGCACGGAATCCGTGAGACAGGAGCAGAGGCTAGAGAGAAAGATGGGGACAGACGGGTGGCATTAAACTTCCTTTTATACCAAGCTAAGGAGTGTGTTGGAGCATGGTATATGCAAAAAATTATCTTAAGATGGAGGATCCCAAAACATTAAGAAAATTAAAAACCACACACCCCAACAAAACCAATTTCATTTCCCGCTAATTTATGTGGGACTTTTAGAAGAGGGACGTCCTAAAATAAAACGACTCCAACAACTACTCTACGGTGTCACAATTCAGAAAGGGTGTAAATCACTCCTTCTGAATTTTTTTCTTCAATTTTTTTTATTTTAATCTTTGTTCAAGTACAGTTTTCTCCCTTTTACTCCCATTCCAGCCCACCTACCCAACCCTCCCCACTTCCCTCCCATTACCACCCTCCCCCTAGTTTTTGTCCATGTGTCTTTTAAATTTGTTCCTGTGAACCCTTCCCATTATCCCCTGAAATCCCCTCTTCCCTCCCCTCTGGTCACTGTCAGCCTGTCCTCTATTTCAGTGTCTTTGGTTATATTTTGCTTGTTTCTTTGTTTTGTTGTTTAGGTTCCTGTTAAAGGTGAGATCATGTGGTATTTGTCTTTCACTGCCTGGCTTATTTCACTTATAATGCTTTCCAGCTCCTTTTTTTTTCTTCATTTTTTAAAATTTTAATCATTGTTCAAGTACATTTTTTTCTTCACATTTTTTTTATTTTAATTCTCCTTCTGAATTTTAATGGCACTTTCTTTCTGTTAGCACTTGTCACTTTCTGCTTGCAGCATAATCATCTGTGTCTTATCTCAAATTATTTACCAGCTCCCTCCAAGCATAAACCAGCTGTTGTTCATCCAGCCTATAAAATTTTATTGCAACCCAGTCTGAATAAGCAAGTCATCCCCAACAGTGCCTAGCACATAGTAGATGTTCAATTAATATTTCATGGCATCGTGGAGATACATGATATCAAAGCAGAAAGACTCTTAAAGATACTCTAATCCAGGGTTTCTCAACCTTTTTGAAGAGCCTGAAAAAAGCTAGGGATTCTCTTCTCAGAAAAATTCACACATAGAAAACATTTTCCATAGAATTTCAGGACCTACCATGCCCAGAGGGGAAAAGTTAGCTTATCCAAAGTCACAAAGCTAATGAGTTGCAGAAGCAAGCCTAGAACACAAGTTTCCTGGTTCCCAATTGTATAGTCTTCCCACCACAAACAAACCATTTTAACTGAGCTGTTTCCTGCTGGGAGGCTGCCTGATACAGGCCTCAGACATAGCAATGCTCCTATAGTGAAATGCCTTGACATAAGGGTGATGCTCAGGAGAATATAGCAAGTTTAGTGGCTTCTGAGGCCCAAGTACAGTGGTATTGAACTTCTGCCAAGGAGACAGAGGCAGTGGGAGATGAGCATGGTTACATGGGAGCATTAAAATAAGCCCAGGAACCAAAAGTGATGTTGAGGAATCCTCAGGTAGAACAGCAAAATCATCTTAACTGTACTGTTCACAGGAAGTGACAGAGTCAGGACTCAAAGCCAGACCTTCAGACACTCTGCCCAGTGTTGTGTTTGCCCCACCAGAAAACCCTCAGCACATGCACAGAAATCTAAGCAATCCTGCAGCTGGGGCCAGAGAAATGGGCTAATCTTTTTTTTTTCTAATCATGTTATTGTTGTTCAATTACAGTTGTCTGCATTTTCCCCCCACTAATGCCCCCCACCCCAGCCAAACCCACCTCCCTCCCTTGCTTCCACCCTCCCCCTTGGTTTTGTTCAGGTGTCCTTTATAGTAGTTCCTGAAAACCTTTCTCCCCACTGTCGACCCCACCCCGCTGCCCCTCTGGCTATTGTTAGATTGTTCTTAATTTCAATGTCTCTGGTTATATTTTGTTTGCTTTTTTCTTTTGTTGATTATGTTCCAGTTAAAAGTGAGATCATATGGTATTTGTTCCTCACTGCCTGGCTTATTTTACTTAGCAATAATGCTCTCCAGTTCCATCCACGCTGTTGCAAAGGGCAGGAGCTCCTTCTTTCTTTCTGCTGCATAGAATTCCATTGTATAGGCGGACTTCTGGCAAGATAGAGGAATAGGTGGACGCACTGTACCTCCTCGCACAACCAAGATTAGAACAACAATAAAGGACGGTCAGCATAACACACAGAACTGACAGAGGATTTATCTGAATGGAAGTCGGACAGCCAAGAAGTTGAAGTAGACCCGTTCATCCAGACTGGTAGGAGACAACGAGCCGAGTGGGTGTGGGGCTGGCGCGGGTCGGAGGCGCGCGGAGGTTGGAGAAAGTTTGGCGCAGAATCGGCGTGACAGCCATCCGGGGCGCAAGAATGCAGCGGTGATCCCTGAGTACGCAAGCTGTGGCTGCCGGACCCAGTGGGGCAGCGATTGTGGACCAGGGCAGAGCTCGCAGCCCAGGAGCCCGGGGAAGGGTCTGGGCCCAGGAGAACTGAACTGCCGCCATTGATTCCCTCCCGTCCCCGTTCCCACCCCCACATATAACAGTCACAATCTAGCGACTGGGGCGCCCAGCCCTGGTGAACACCTAAGGCTCCGCCCCCCACCGTAACAAGGGCAACCAGACCGGAAAAAAAAAAAAAAAGGAGAGACAGGGAAAGACATAAGACATGTGTACAACAGAGCAGATCAGTCCCCCAGGACTCATCCTTTTGAGCAACCAAGAAATAGCCAATCTATCAGATGCACAGTTCAAAACGCTGGTGATCAGAAAGCTCACGGAATTGGTTGGTTTTGGACGCAATTTAGATGAAAGGATGCAGGTTACCATAAAAGAGATGCAGGAAGATACGCGGAGGAGAGCCAATAGAGAAAGGAAGGAATCTGAGTCTCAAAACAATACAGTGGACCAGAAGGAAGATAGAATCAACCAAGCAGGAAAGCATGATGAAATAAGAATTCAAAAAATTGAGGAGAGCCTTGGGAGCATCCAGGACACCTTTAAACGTTCCAACATCTGAATTATAGGGGTACCAGAAGGGGAGGAGCAACAAGTGGAAAAGTTATTTGAACAAATAATAAAGGAGAACTTCCCCATTCTGGCAAAGGGAACAGTCTTCCAAGAAATCCAAGAAGCTCAGAGAGTCCCAAAGAAGTTTGACCCAAGAAGAAACACACCAAGGCACATCATAATTACATTAGCCAAGGTAAAAACGAAGGAGAGAATCCTAGAAGCAGCAAGAGATAAGGGGACAGTCATCTACAAAGGAGTTCCCATCAGACTGTCAGCTGATTTCTCCAAAGAGACCTTACAGGCAAGAAGGGGCTGGAAAGAAATATTCCACGTCATGAAAGACAAGGACCTACATCCCATATTGCTCTATCCAGCAAAGCTGTCATTTAGAATGGAAGGGAAGATAAAGTGCTTTTCAGATAAGGTCAAGTTAAAGGGAGTTCATCATCACCAAGCCCTTATTTTATGAAATGCTAAAGGGACTTATCTAAGAAAAGAAGATAAAGAAAAAGACATGTATAGTAAAAGGACAGCAAACTCACAATTATGAACAACCACACCTAAAGCAAAACCAAAAGAAACTAAGTAAACAACTAGAACAGGAACAGAACCACAGAAATGGAGGGCACATGGAGGGCTAGCAGCAGGGGGGGTGGGAGGAGGAGAGGGGGGAAAGGTATAGAGAATAAGTAGCATAGAATGTAGGTTGAAAATAGATAGGGGGAGGGCAAGAATAGTACAGGAAAGGTAGAAGCTAAAGAACTCACAAGAATGACACATGGACGTGAACTAAAGAGGGGGGACGTGGGTGGGAGAGGGGGTACAGGGTGGAGGGGAGGGAAGGGGGAAAATGGGACAAATGTAATAGCATAATCAATAAAATATATTTAAAAAAAAAAGAATTCCATTGTATAAATGTACCATAGTTTTTGATCCACTCATTTACTGATGGGCACTTAGGTTGATTCCAGCACTTGGCTATTGTACATTGTGCTGCTATGAACATTGGGGTGCATAGGTTCTTTTGTATTGGTGTTTCAGGGCTCTTAGGGTATAATCCCAGCAGTGGAAATGCTGGGTCAAAAAGCAGTTGCATTTTTAGTGGGCTAAATAATCTTATAATGCTTAGAACTAACTCCCAATAATCTGTGATAATGGATTCTAGGAACACATACATATTTTAAATCTGCAACTACTATAAAGCTCAGCTAGTTGGCTAAAAAAGTCAGTCCACCTCTACTACTCGTCATTCACTCAGCTGAACTGAATGTATCATTTCTATTGTGAGGTCCACACTGCATCAAGTACTAGCAACATATTTTAAAGTATCACAAATAATAAAAACAAATCATTTGCTTTTTACTGTGATAACCTGGCCTAGGGGTAAGATTGGGAACTGGCAGAAGCATCTCTATTATGGATAATATCTAAATTAAATAAACAAAGAGGACTGAGGGATGACCCCCTATTCTTTCTAGCTCCAATACCAGCCAGCCTATGCAAATCTGACTTTGGGTGTCGTAAAAGCTGCACACTCTCCTTTTCTAAAGGATCCCTGTCCCCTTTACCTCTTGTTCTTTAATTAGGTGCTTGTATCTCCCAATGCCATGGGTGGGCTTTGTCTTGTAGTGCCGACTGGTACTCAGCAAAATGCCACCTAAAAGAGAAAGTAACACAAACATATTTCAAAACTCCTCCAGATACAGATCACACGTGAGGAGACCAATTCTCCATTGCAAGACTGGGACTACTTTGGGGTAGCAGGTGTCTTATTGGTTTAAAGAACCAGAGCTATATATATGTATATATTTTTATATTGGGCTGACCCTTAGTTTAGTCCCCATTTCTATCCATTTGGCCGCTGGACTCTATCCAGTCCCCACTACCTATCTCAGAGAAACTCTCTTCTGCTAGAGCCACTGGTGGTATAGGGACAAAATACATTCTCACAGGGTTTTCATTTTTTCTTTTCCCTCAACAGGCAATTATTCCTTGAAGTTTTCTGTGAATTGTATAGAGAAAGTAACAGGCGGCAAATATAACCAGGTAAGAGAATAATCATAGATTTCCACAAAATCTTTAAAACTGTCTAATTTGATTTATTTGTGCTGATAAGGAACAATCTCTAACACACACTGCTAAGTGACTAACAGTAAAAACAAAAACCTAATGTACAAACTGTGTGCGCATACTACCACTAAGTATACAATAGGATCTCCATATGCATCTTCGTTGGGTTAGCCCAGAGTCATGCCTCCCAGATCCCCTTTAAGGAAGGACTTATTAATATATATGTGTTCTCCTTTAATCTTCATTATTTTTATTCTCATTAACAAATAAAGAAACTACAGCTCAAAAATTATGGTGAACTGGCCAAAGTCATCCAGCAGATAAAAGGCAGAACTGCATTTTAAACCCAGGTCATTCTGATTAAGCAATTTATGCTCAGATGTGTTATGCCCCTGAATTTCTGGAATATAAAATCTAGCTAGATCTGATCTTTTAAGCCCAGATCTCAGTTCCTTATCTCCATGCTTTCACTGGAACCAGCACTACACAGCTCTGCTGTGTCTGTCTGTCTCTCTTGCTTGGTGTCCACCTTCTGGACTAGTCCTAGTATGACTCCCTTTTCTCCCAGCTCCTATGGTCTTCTTGTCATCGTCCCAGAGTTATCATGCTGTGGGGGGCTAAACACAGCATGGTGGGAGAAGTCTAATGACATCTAGAAGAATGTTTCCTTTTTTTTTTTTTAAAGATTTTATTTATTTATTTTTAGAGAGGGAAGGGAAGGAGATAGAGAGAGAAAAAGAAACATCAATGTGTGGTTGCTGGGGGCCATGGCCTGCAACCCAGCCATGTACCCTGACTGGGAATTGAACCTGCGACACTTTGGTTCGCAGCCCGTCCTCAATCCACTGAGCTACACCAGCCAGGGCTAGAATGTTTCCTTTTTAAAAAATATATCTTATTGATTATGCTATTATAGTTGAGTCAATTTTTCCCCTTTGCCCTCCTCCATCTGGTGCCCTACATTGCCTCCAGCAATCCCTCCCCTCAGTTCATGTCCATGGGTCATGCATGTAAGTTCTTTGACTACTACATTTCCTATACTGTTCTTAACCTACCAACTTAGAACCTACGTCTATTCTGTACCTGCCAACTTGTCTTAATTCCTGTACCTTTTCCCCCATTCTCCCCCTTCACCCTCCCACCTGATAACCCTTCAAATGATCTCCATATCTATGATTCTGTTTCTGTTCTGCTTGTTTGCTTAGTTTGTATTTTGGATTCAATTATTGATAGTTGTGACTTTATTGTCATTTTAATGTTCATGGCTTTAATCTTCTTTTTCTTAGATAAGTCCCTTTAACATTTCATATAATAATGGCTCGGTGATAATGAACTCCTTTAGCTTTACCTTGTCTGCAAAGCACTTTGTCTGCCCTTCCATTCTAAATGATAGCTTTGCTGGATAGAGTAATCTACGTTGTAGGTCCTCTTTTCTACACTTGGAATACTTATTGCCAGTCCCTTCTTGCCTGCCAAATTTCTTTCAAGCAATCAGCTGACAGTCATATGGGAGCTCCTTTGTAAGTAACTATCTACATTTCTTTTGCTACTTTTAAATTCTCTCCTTATCTTTAACCTTTGACAGATTAATTATGATGTATTTTGGTGTGGCCCTCTTTGCATCCTTCTTGTTTGTGACTCTCTGTACTTCCTGGACTTGTATGTCTATTTCCTTCACCAAATCAGGGAAGTTTTTTTTCATTATTTCTTCAAATAAGTTTTCAATTTCTTGCTCTTTCTATTCTCTTTCTGGCACCCCATGATTCAAATGTTGGTGCATGTGAAGTTGTTCCAGAGGCTCCTTGGCCTATCCTTGTTTTTTTGATTCTTTTTTCTTCTTGCTGTTCTGATCAAATGTTTTTTTCTTCCTTATGTTCCAAATCATTGACTTGATTCTTGGCTTCATCTACTCCACTGTAGGTTCCCTGTAGATTTTTCTTTATCTCATTAGTGTAGCCCTCTTTTCTGCCTGGGTCTCTTTTATGCTGTTGAAGTACCCGATGAGTTCCTTAAGCATCCTAATAACCAGTGTTTTGAACTCTACATCTGACAGATATCTCCATTTTGTTTAGTTCTTTTTCTGCAGTTTTGTTCTGTTCTTTCATCTGGGCAATAATTCTTTGCCTCCTCAATTTGGCAGCCACTCTCTGTGTGTTTCTATGTATTTGATAGAGCTGCTTTGACTCCTTTTCTTAGTAGCATGGCCTGTTGTAGAAAAGTGCACCTTTAAGTGGATGGCGCAGAGCCTTAGGTAATTGTCAGGGTGGGGCAAATCATGTAAACCAGGTTGATGGAGTTTCCAAATGGTGTTGCCATTCTGTGGCTCTGTGTTGGGGAGGGCTCAGAAAGGGGACATCACTGGATGTGTATGGAGTTTTTTCGGGGAAGAAGCTGTCCCCAGCACTCATCCTGATGTCAGGCACTTCAGTTTCTCCAGGTATGTTGCTGGTGCCCTTCTAGCTGCTGCCCCATTGCTGAAGTCCAGAGGGAATGAGCCTGTGTAAGTCCTAAGTCTGTTGTGGGCTCTTTAAAAGGAGACTTCTGAGGATCCCACAGTTTCTTCCACCACCCCAACCCCCATTGGTTTTTGCAGTGAGAAGTTATGGGGACTTATCTTCTTGGCACTGGAGCCCTGGGCTGGGTAGTCTGGTATGGGGCTGGGATTCCTTCACTCCCAAGGTATCCCTTCCAATTTTTATCCATCATACATAGGTATGGGACCACCCATTCTGCATCTCCGTATCTCTGCACCTCTCTACTCATCTCCCCATCTCCCCCACTCCTACCCATCTGGATGAATGTGACTTCTTTAATTCCTTGGTTGTTAGATTTTCATACAGCTCTATTTTCTGATGTTTCTGGGTGATAATTTTTTTTTTGTAGTCTAGTTGTAATTTTTGCTGTGGTTGTGCAAGGAGGCAAGCTGTGCTTAACCACACCCCTATCTTAACTGGAAGTCTCCAGAGGAATGTTTCTTAAGCTTCTCTTTTTAAAATGGGTTCCCACACAAGTTGGCTCTGTGCCAGGCCAATCAGAGACTGACTTCAGAGTCAATCCTATATTTAAAATCACACTATTTCATCCAGACAGCCCTGAGATATGCATTAGTCCTATAATATGCACTATTCCACATCTACTATTACATGCCAACGACTGCATAGAACCTGAGACAAAGATAACTAAAATATGCTACTTTCCCCAGAGACACTCACTCAGTGTGTCCTGGGCAAGGATGATGGGAAAACAGGTAATTATCTTACGTTGTACAAAATATTTCAGTGGAGATGAGAGCAAGGTAGTAAGTACCTAGAGGAAGAAACAACTAACTCTGCCTAATGGGGTGGGAGTGGGGAAGGGTGCAGAGGAATAGGTTCAGAAGAGGTAAATGCTGCATTCTTGAAGGAGTAAGAGTATACTATTCAAGGAACAAGGAGGTATTTTTGGTATTCGTTACTAAAGACCACTGAACATAACTGAGGTGTGTTCTTGGACCCTGCCCCCAAATTGCTCTCTGAATCTAAGACTTTTCATCCTTTGAGCCTTTTGAGTTTCAACTCTGCAACTTGGGACCCCACCCAAGGAGCTCATATCCAAATCCTCCTGATGGGTACACAATGATCCTCAGACCAGAGCCTTGCAAATTAATCTTATCCAACAAGATTTTATCATGACCTCAAAAATAAGACTTTGAAAAAAGCACTGAACCCTTCAAACCATGTTCATTCACTTAATAAATATTTATCAATTCCCATCAGGGTAGCCAGTGACAATTATACCCTCATAGTCATGTGAATAGCACACACTTGAGCTGTGAGGTGTATAACCAACCCATTATCTGTGGCAACACTATTGGTACCACGCAATGCCCTAGAAGCTGGGGCTATAACAATGGACAAAGACAGAGTCCCTACAACAAAGAGCCTATGATCTACTGGGGAAACAGTAATACCAATGCAGGGTGATAAGGGCTATACATGGGAGGGGCAATGAAGCTGGTCTTGAGGTGCCGGGAAAGGATTCTTAGAGCAGGTGGCTTTTAAATAAAACTTGAAGGATTCTAAGAGTCATTAGAGAACAGGGTATGGGGAAAGGAAAAGCCAGACAGAATTTCAAGGCAGAACATGAGGAGCAGGGTGGCAAGAGACGAGTTTACAGAAACAGGCAAAGCTCAGGAAGGGCTTAATTATTGAACACTTATGATATGCCAGGCACTATGCTAAGAATTGGGGATATAAAAGTAGACAAGGCCAACAAAACTCCAGTTAATGGAGCTGACAATCTAGTGGGAGGAAGGTATAATTAATGGAAGGCACAAAGTAAACATAAAATTATTAGTTGAGATAAATAATAAAAAAAAGCACAAGCGGGCTATTGCAATACAATCGGTGTATCTATTTTAGACTGGAGTCTCAGGGAAGGCCTGTCTGGAAAAAATGACATGTGAACTGTGATCAGAATTCAGAGGGAAACAGTAACAGTGGTTATCCCCAGGGAGGAGAAGTGGCTAGAAGGCAGGAGGAGAGGGACATTTACTGTTTTATATTCTTGTGTCTTTTAAAACTTGTTCCATACATGCATTACCTATGCAAAAAATAAATAAAATAAATTGAGACCTGAAAGGCAAATAGGAGTTTATTAAGTGAAAAGACGGAGGATGAATGTTCTAGGCAGAGGAAATAGCACATGTGAAGGCTCCACTGTGCGACACAGTTTTGGCACGTGCAAGGAACAAAAAGGCTGTCTGTGGGACCGGCGCAAAGTGAGAGGGGCACAGAGAGTACCAGAAACTCGAACAGCGAGTTGGAACACACCACAGTGGGCCTTGTTAAGGGTGTGGATTTCTGACTGAACAAGCACAAGCAGGGAAATTATATGTCTATTACATTTTGAAAAGATTACACTTTGGTCGTCCTGGGGAGAGGGAGTGTGGACAGAAGGAGTAAGAGATACAAGTGGTGGCCTTGCTTAAGTTATTGTTGGGGATCTCAGAGTATCCACATCCCTCTCTCTCATTCCATCCTCCAGGGCTTACAAATTAATCCTTCTAAAACACAGATCTAATCAAATTACTTTCTTTCATTAATTCAATTATTTATTTATTGCACACACACAATTTTTTAAAAAGTAGTTATTATGTGCAAAGCACCATACCAATCACTACAGACACACCAACGAATGAGACAAGAAAGGTCTTTTGCCATATTTCAAAATGTTTGATGATTTTCTACTGCCCAAAGTTAACACTTCTTAGGTGAGCATGGAAGAACTTTGATTTCATAATCTAGTTCCAACTACTTCATCTCCTTGTTCTCCCCTCCTCCAGGCCTTTAAAACCTTGTTCCTCAGCATCAGCTACACTGGCCACTCTGTAGAAACCATGCACTTTTCATACCCCTGTCACCCTGGACACTCCCCCTGCTGGGACTGCATCCTTCTGCCTGGTGAAACCCTATAAGCCTTCAGAGCCAGCTCCAGTGTCACAGTCTCTGGGAAACTCTTCTGCTGCTCTAAACCTACAAAGATCACCGAGAGTTCACTTCATCTCTCTCCCATGCGTCCATTACAGGGGTGGGCAAAAGTAGGTTTACAGTGGTTGATGTGGAAAATAATACAATAATTAATAAACAATAATACAAGAATAAACTCTTTGGCATACTCATGACTGTAAATCTACTTTTGCCCATCCCTGTATACAGTAAAACCTTTGTATAAATAAAACTCAGATACCATCACCACCTTGAAATACACAGATACTCAATAACCCTCCAGTGGTTTTAAAAAGTAGGACCAAAAGTGACATTGGTCAGGTGAGAGTGCCACAAATGCTTGCCTCGCCTCAGCCTCTCACGCACTGGAATTCACTGGCAAGGAGGCACTTTCAAATTCAGTTTGGGGCAATTCCTATAATTAGAGCAGCTGGTTAATTAAGAAGCCAATTCAAACTACTGTTAAATTAACCATTTTCTTCCTTAAATGAAAGGTTTTGTTTAAATTACCAGTGGTTAACCTGCTTAATTAGCCAGTTGTTTTAATTATAAAATTTACAACTTTGAAAGCCTTTGATTTCTGATAAGTTCAACTGAATTTCCCTCTCGCTGTGTGTCATTAAGCTGGGTTTCCTGCTGTCACATTGACATTGCAGCCTCCTAAGAGAAAAGGCAACTCTTTTCTCTTAGACACAAAACCCCAGGGTTTCGAAAGGAGGCTTTGAAAATCTTTCAGTTAGCACGACTCCAGGATGTGATCACACACGGGCTGCTCGCACCTCGCACCCTTGCCTGTGCACGTGCCGGAGCCGGCTGTCCTTCGGTGTCCTTGTCACTAAACTCAGTGCTCAACCCATCAACCCGGGGTGCGGGTAAACAAATTCACTTTAATTATTTCTCCTGCAAAATTGGAACAAGTATTTTTAGCACAGCTATGCAGAAGAAAACGAGAAAAACACTGGCGTAGCCCCAGCCAAGAATTAATTACAGGATATTCTCTTCATTCAACAGACTGCTCGTCCCCGACAAACCCTACCCAGCACCTGGCAAGTAGTATGTGCTCATAAAATGTGTGTGTGTAAATATATATAAAAATACATGTTTATTTATATATATTATATGTGTGTGTGTATATATATATATATATATATATTTTTTTTAAGGTTCTTGAGATAGTTTACCAAGATTCTGCAATGATTTGGCCCTGGCAGCTACCCACTTTTGTTTCAAAATCTATTTTCAAACATTTTTCAGGTTTTCTAATTACACTGAACTACGCGGACTGCAATATACCTTGCTTCTCTGACTCCACCTTTTTGCCCATGCTGTAATGAGAGGACTCCGAGTTCCCTTCACTTAACCTCTTTAGACCTCTTTGTAAATATCTACTTCTACCTCTCTATGTATGCTTCAGTCAGTGAGAAAAAGGCGTTCACTACCTTCCGGCCCATGCCTTGGAGAGAGCGGCTGGGATGGCGCCCAGGGCCCACAGCAAGCGTGAAGGGTGAAGGCAGGAATGCAACACTACTCCCGGCTCTTTTCGCCTGAACATCATTACAATTCAACTTTCAAATTTCTGACTTTAAAGATATCTCAAAGAACCCATGAAAAAAATGCCAAGTTTTCAAGTAGAATCTTGGCATGCCGACATTGGTGAGTTACCCTGGGCCTTGGAGCTTTCTAAACATTGGGATTCCCTAACAACAATTGAAAAATGGGCACAGGAAAACATAAATGACCGGTATGAAAATGTATGAAAATATGTTTAAGCAACTGCTAATCAAACACATGGAAATTAAAAATACAAGGGGTGGCATTTTTTATTATTAGCAAATATTTTAAAAATAATAATACTGACAAACGTATAAAAAAGGGATTCTGAAATACCAAAGAAATATAAAATGGTGCAGTCTTCTGGAGAGCAGTTTAGTAATACACATCAATAACTTTAAAAATGTGCATTTCCTCTGACCTAACAATTTCATGTTTCCCAAGTAAACAATCAGACAAGGGAACAAATACTAATGTATAAGGATCTTCACCATAGTATTGTTTACACTGGAAATTCTTGGAGACAACTTAAATTTCACCGAATAGGACACTGAGTAAATTACGTTATTATCCCCTACCTGTCTCTTCAAAAGGATCCCTATTGGGTCTTTTCCAACAGCATTTAACATGCTCTATTTGATCTCAGCTTTAAAAACAAAATGAAACAAACAAACAAATAAAACCCTCAGAATTAGATAGTTATCAAATACTGAAATATACTCCAAAACTGTATGTAACCAGTAGTATTAAAACAGCTTGGTACTGGCATCAAATATACAGACAGATCAATGAAATAAAATAAAGTTAAAATAGTCCTGTACCTGTATGAAAATTTAGTATGTGATAAAGGTGATACTTTCAAACCTATGGAGCAAAGATGGATTTTTTGTATTTTTGTTCTTTTAAAATAGGGAACGCTTCACAATTTTGCGTGTCATCCTAGCTCAGGAGTCATGCTAATCTTCTCTGTGTTGTTCCAATTTTAGTACATGTGCCACTGAAGCAAGCACGGAAAGACGGATGTTTTAATGTTGAAACAACTGACTACTCATTCTGGGGATAAAATTGCATTACCACCCAACTCTAATTCCATATGGACCACATATCTAAAGGAAAAAAATAAAGAAGATAACATGAAGGATTTTTAAAAAAATAATCTTGGCGTACAGAAGATCTTTCTCTCTAAGCATGAAAGAGTATCTGGAAATCAAAACTTAACACACATATCTGTATAAAAATTTAAAACTTCTATTTAACAAAAAACACAAAAACAAAATCAAGGGACAGATGACTGAAAACCATACAAAGCATATATAACAGAAAAATGCTAATTTCCTTAGAATATAAAACCTAGATAAAAGTTTCTTATAGATCAAAAGTGAAAAAGCAAACAATCTAATAAAAAAAGGGGCAAAAAATATAAACCGTTCACAAGGAAAGAAATACAAATAAATGGTAGTAACAATATGAAAAAGTGACAAACTCAAGAAATGCAAATTACAAGGAGACATAATTTTTGACTAACAAAAAAATAAGATGTTTTATAATATCCAGTTTTGGCCAGAAAATAAAAATGTAAATTAACACAACTTCTTTGAAGGGCAATTTAACAACTCTTACCAAAATTTTCAATTCACAGTCTACTGATGCAGCAAGTTCAATTCCAGGAATTAATCTTACAAATGTACAAAAACAAGTTTGCAATGAAGTATAACAATGGTTGCTGCAGCATTTTTTGAAATATCAAAAACTAAATACAACCTAAATGTCCAGCTTTAAGATATAGTCATACATATACATTATATATATGTTCTTGTATGCACAAAACTTCCTTTTTCTTTTTTTCTTTTTTGGTTTGTCAATGTATTTTTTTAATTTTAATTTTATTTTATTTTAATCATTGTTCAAGTACAGTTTTCTCCCTTTTACTCCCATTCCAGCCCACCCACCCAACCCTCCCCACTTCCCTCCCATTATATGCACAAAACTTTCTTGAAAAATATCTAAAAAATTTCTATCAGTGGATATCACTAGGGAGTAAGACTGGGAAATAGAAGAAAATTCAACTTTTTATCATACATCTTTTGTACAGTTTACATTTGTTTTTACCACATGCATTCTTATGAATATTTACATTTGAGACCTTTTTAACAGATGATAATTTCAATACTAACTTTTAAAAAACTTCCTCAGAATACACAGTAGTTCAGAATGAACTTTGGCTCTGGCCAGGTAGCGCAGTTGGCTGGAGTGTCGTCCTGACAAGCTAAGGTTGCGAGCACCATCCCCAGTCAGGGCACAAACAAGAAGCAACCAATGAATGCATGGGTGGGTGGAACAACAAATCAATGTTTCTCTCCCTCATTCTCTCTCTCTCTCTCTCTCACAAATCAGTAAGAGAAAAAAAATTTAAGTGAGAAAACCAACCTATGGAGATGTAGCCAAAGGTCACACAATAAGTATGTGGTAGAGTTAGAATCCAAACTGCAGAGCTCTTGCTGTTAACCTCTACTGCATGTTTTTGCCCAGTGTCCTATTCCATGAGAGGGCTAGGATGCGGTCCCAGCCACTGTTCTCAAAGATATGTTAGGCATCCTTCTAGACAAAATTATTAGAGTGTTAGAGAGTCACTTAAAGCAGGCAGACTACACCAGGAAATAAATGCTTACCTGCAGAACAGATGGGATTCTCTCCTGAACTTTTGAATCTAAAAAAAGGGAGAGTATATGTAGAATACAATTAGATACTGACTGTTCACTTGCCCAGTTATCCAAACTTGTAAAATCCTCATTACGGATAAGTCAATGTGAACAACAATTAAAAAAAAAAGGATATGTTAATATTAGATATGTCCTTATTCCCCCTCCCTTTCACAAATATTTTTAAGGACCTATTGTACAATGTGCCAGACAATGTGCTAGGTCTTGAGGATGCAAAACTAAGTAACTGTCTCTATCAGTGGTCCGGTCAGGAGAGAGAGACTATATGTAAACAAATGCTGGCCACAGTACAATACTGGTCCAGAGCAAAAACAGGGACAAGATTTGGTGGAACACAAAGGAAAGTGTGACCATTTCTACCAGGGAGTTGAAACTGCCTTATTTACTCTTACAGGTAAAACATTCTAGGCAGAGGGATAAAAGTGGTTATGTTTGGGGAACAGCAAGCAGTTGCATGTAAGGAGAACTCAAGCAGCAGGAAATGATACAGGTTGAAAGAGGTAATCAGGGGCCAGTTTATGAAGAAACTTGTATACTGTGCTAAGTAGTTTGGTCTTTACTCTGTGTAGGCAGTGGGAAGCTTCTGGCAGAGTTTAAGCATGGGAGTGATATGGTCAAGTTTAAGTTTTGGAAAGTTGCCCTGGCTGGGTAGCTCAGTTGGTCAGAGTATCGTCCCCATATACCAAGGATGGGGGTTCAATCCCTGGTCAGGGTACATGCAAGAATCAACCAATGAATGCATAAATAGTAGAAGAACAGATTGATCTCTCTCTCCCCCTTTCTCTCTAAAATCAATAAATAAAGTAAGTTTTGGAAAGTTAACCCTGGCAGTAGGTGAGAAATGAATGGGAAGAGGTGAGGCAAGAGAACCAGTGAGGTGGTTCTTGCAGGAGTCTTGCATTATTAGAACAAGCTCATGGAGGATGCAGAGGAAGGGACAGCAATGAGAGCCAGACTGGAGACAGAAGCCAGAGAACATGGAGGAGGATAAAACGGTTCTGTCTGGCTGACTTGGTAAGCAGAGTATTTTAGTTAAGCATCCTGCAAAGCTTTGACACTACACTGTGGAACAAGTTAGAGACAAGTAGACCTGTGATTAAATGCTGACTCTACCATTTCTAAACTATGACCATAAGCAAGTTGTTTTATATCTCTGTAACTCAGTTATCTCACCTTTAAAATGCAGATAATAATAGTATAATCTCATGGGACTGAAAATCTATCTTAAACTCTCTGAGCCAGCTTCCTCTTTTGTAAAATGACAATATTTACATTTGTCCTGTAGTATTTTTGTTTATTAGAGAGAATATGTAAAATGCCTAGCATGGAGCCATAGTAAGTGCATATTGAATAGCTGACTGATTAATGGAAAAACAGGTTAAGATGGAAAGGGAATAACAGGGAAAAGGCATTAATAAATGTAAATGATTAAAGAAATCATCCAGGCTCACGAGCATCACGTGGTCCAGGAAGATACTCAGTTCATTGTTTTATATCATGTGGCTGCCACACATAAGCCACTCAGTGGCTATCTGCTGAATAGAGAAATAAATAAACTGCCAAATACTCTTCATTACCATCTAGAGAAAAACCAATGGAGAGGCAGCATGCTGTATATGCAGAACAGTGAAAAACAACTTGGGTTTGAATCCTAACTCCAATTCATTAGCTATGTCATCTTAGAGCTATCGATTAACCATTCTGAATCTCAGTTGTTTATGCATATAATTGAGATAACATCATCTGTTTCACCAGATCACTATGGAGAGCTATTAATTCAATAAAAATTATTTATTAAATGCCCATTATGTGTCAAGACACCATTCTAAGGGCTAGGGATATAGCAGTAAACAAAACTAGAAAGTCTTTATCCGTATGATGCTGATATTCTAGTGGGCAGGGTGAGGAAGACAGATGATTTAAATATATATACACATACATATATATAAAATGTGTCAGGTGGTGACACCTGCTATGAAAAATAAAGCAAGGTAAGGAGATAGAGATTCACGGAGGGGTAGTCAGGGAAGGCCTCTCTAATGAGATGACATTTGGGCACAAACCTGAATGAAGTCAGAGGGCAAACCACATGGGTGTCTGAGGGGAGAACATGCAAAGATTCTTAGGTGGGAGGATGCTTAGATCATCAAGGAATAGAAAGGGAGCCAGCATGGCTAAAGCTGAGTAAGTAGTAGTACCCAATGAGGAAATAGGTTATATAAAGACTTGAAAGCCATGGTAGGGACTGCAGCTCTTATTTCAATGGGAGAGTTCTGAGACAGAAGTGACATCAGCTAACTTGATTTTAAAGGAATCACTCTGATTTTAGTGCTAAGAATAGAAGACAAAAATAAAAGCAGGAAGACCAATTAGAAGGAAGGATGATGGTAGTTAAAAACATAAGAAGCTTGCTCTGGCCAAGTGGCTCAGTTGGTTGGAGCATCATCCCATTCACCAAAAGTTTCCAGGTTCAGTCCTGGGTCAGGGCACATACCTAGGATGCAGGTTCGATTCCTGGTAAGGGTGCATATGGGAGGCAACCGATTGATATTTCTCTCTTACATTGATGTTTCTCTCTCTCTTTCTTCCTCCCTCTTTCTCCCTCTCTAAAATCAGTAAACATATCCTTGGGTAAGAATAAAGAAGAAAATTCTCATACATCAAAAAAGAAGTGGTTTTTTGAAAAAAAAAAAAAGATAAGGAGCTGGTCCCTAGTAGTTTAGTAAAACAGAAAGTATGAGGCCTGAAACTGGAGGTAAGAAATGGTTTAAGTCTGTAATATTTCAAAAGGTGAGCCAACAGGATTGGTTAAAGAATTGGATGTAGAGTGAGAGAAATAACAATGTCAAGGCTGACTCCAAAGATTTTGGCACAAGCAACTAGATGAAGGGAACTGTCACTCTCTGAAAATGGGGAAAGAGCAAGATGGCAGGGGAGTTCACACTGCAGGTACTCGGCAGGCGTGGAAGTGGAGATGATGAAAGAAAAATGCTGTGTGAACTACCTAGCAGAATGCAAATATTAGCTATATTTAAGTACTGTTATTAATTAATATACTTACCTTAAGAGGGGAAAGGCTTGCTTAAAAATGACATCGTTCTTCAAACACAGCACCTACAGCAAAACAGCCATGTTAGGAAAATCTTACAAACTAATAAACTTCCAAGCACTTCTTCACAGAGAGCCTAGAAACCCATGAACACAAACAAAAGGACCCAAAGGCTCTTGTCTAGCAAAGAGGCCGTCCGTAGTTAATACCAAACGTGCAGGCAAACCAAGGTCGTCTTCTTTTTCTTATTCCATCCACTACAGAAAATGCTTAAAAAACAAAAGCCCCCCACTTCCATGCTGCCTTTTTTAAAAAAAGAACCTTATTTCCCCTTTCCAATTTGTTCCATTTTTTTCTAACGTCAGTCAACAATTATTATGCTTCTGCCAAGCACAGATACCATACGACAGACTTCCTTAACTTCTTCCTTAATTCTCAAAACACTGCAAAGCAATTTTATAGATGAGGCAAGTAAGGCCCATGGAGGTGATAGTCCAAGAAATTATAGTCAGTAAGTAGCTAAGAGAACTGTTTTACTCCAAAGGCTATTTGCTCTATTACAACACACTGTCTCTCTCAATAGTAATAATAGTGTTATGACATCAACAAAACAATAATAATGAGAGAGACAGTAACAATAGAAGCTTCTCTCCCTGAGGTTCCCCTCCCCAGTTATTTCCATCTTAGCCTGTCCTGTTGGGCACCCACTCTAAAGATCACCAGTGTAGCTTTACTAAGGGAGTGTTTAACAGAGAGGAAGTCTATTTTTATAAAGTAACTAGATAATAAATACTAAATGTCCTTAGGTCCCATAACATAAAGAGAAAATCCTGTCCACGGTGGGTAACAATTTCAATTCCTTCAACATGTATGTGTTAAAAGCCTTTTACACAAAAACAAAGTCTGAGAAACTGTTACAAACAAGAGGCACCTAAGGAGACCGGACAACTAAATGTAACATAATAACCTGGATG